AAAGCCCTTTGTGGGCCTCTAGCCTTTGTCTTGGGAGAGGGGGAGATTTGCAACTAGACACTTCTTGAAAGGAGACACTCAGTTTCGCAAGTGAGCCTGTCACCCTGCACACACCTATAGCTGGCTGGGCAAGGCGTTCAGGCATGCAACCACCAACACCAGGCAACACCCCTCCTCCACGGACTGCCCTTCCACTCCCAGGCAGCCCCTCCTTCCCAGGAACCTCTGTTCCTCATCCCATGCTCATCCTTTTCTGACTTCCACCACTGGGTAGCTATTGTGGACAGCCTGCTGCTCAGGACTAGAGAAGGAAAATGACTTGTCCAGGCAGAGGCAAGTCTAAGTCTAGAATCCAGGCTTCTAAATTTCTAGGCCAGTGCAATTGGTTCTCAAATGAGATTAACAGGGATTAAGTGAGATGATGCGTGTAAAGATGCTGTGTGAACTGTAAGTCTTAATGCCATTATCACGCATTACTAGGATCATTTTCATTACTTCTGCTTCCTGGGGGAAGAATGTAGAAGGGGACTGACCTTCAGCCTCCTTTACCTCCTTTAATTGATGGTCAAATCAAAGGAGAGTCCTAGAAACCCCAAGGTCCTGGCGGATAGGTGAGGGGGGCGGCCCCATCCTTATCCAGCCTCTTAACTTCTCCATACCTTGAGTGCACCCTGGCTGTTCTCCTAATTCATTCCTCCCATTACCCAGCTCCACCCATTCTCTTCCTCCCTCTCTAGCCTGCTGTATAACTAACCAAAGGGTCATATCCAATCCCCAACAATGAATGACAGCCACCTGGCCTCACTGCCAGGTGACCTCCAGGACTGTCCTGTAGCTGAGTGTGTCCTTGCTTTCTAAGCTATGTCTCAGGCCCCTCATCCCTACCCTGCCTCACCCCAACAAACCCCTGTAGAAAGTGCCAAGAATTTTCTAGTCTATTCCATTTCCTGGATTGAAAAACTAAATGTGAGATCCCCACCACTTCCCGCCCCTATTGCCCAAATTGGGGTCAGAGGTCAAAGCAGAATTCTAAGTGATGGAGTGGAAGGAAATTGACAGTTACAGAGCATCTCTTGTGTAGCAGGTGATGTGCTGGGCACCTTACACACATCAGCCCAACTAACCCTCCCAAAATTTCAGATAGGCTAAGGAAGGACAAAGGCCACCAGCTGCAAAGGGTTTTACTATTTCCATATCTCTCCCTTATCATATCCTGTGATTATCTTCCAAGCCTGTGGGATAGGCAGAACAAATGTTATTCTTCCAATTTTAAAGATTCAGAAACCAAGCTAAGAAACTAACATCACAGATAGTATATGGGAGCAAAGGCTTGAATCAGATCTTCTTATGCAAAATCCCACAATCTTTCCCCTCTTTCTGGGAGCCTTTGGTAGGAATCAGAACACAAAGCTGGGCCTGTTTAGCCCACCCCACTCTCTTGTGGTGACCCAGAGCCTTGGCGAACACAGTGGAAATGTAGGGAACACATGACAAAGAGCATGGGATTGGTTTTTACCCCTGAAGAGCAGCTAGTCTAAAGGAGGGTGGAGGTCAGACACATCCCAAACCAGACAGAGGCAGGGCAGCATGGAAGCAGGGGAACAGAGCTGTAGGCTTGGGATAGAGAAGTCTCTGAGGGAGGTACCTGTGGCTCAGTGGGTAGGGCACCGACCCCATATATCGAGGGTGGCGGGTTCGAAACTGACCCCGGCCAAACTGCAACAAAAAGATAGCCGGGTGCTGTGGTGGGCACCTGTAGTCTCAGCTACTTGAGAGGCTGAAGCAAAAGAATTGCCTAAGTCCAAGAGCTGGAGGTTGTTGTGAGCTGTGATGCCACGGCACTCTACCATGGGCGACAAAGTTAGACTCTGTCTCAAAAAAAAAAAGAGAGAGAGAGAGAGAAGTCTCTGAGCTGAGGGAAGAAGGTGGCTGACAGCTGGGTCTCAGAAGCAGCCATTCCCACATTCCCACTTTGCACCTACAAATGTTGCTTTGATGTTTTCTATCTTTAAGCTGTGATTTTGTATATATGCAATGCCTCCTAGCTAGACTGTAAACCCTGTGGGGGTAGGGCTCCTTCCAATTCTTGGATGACATTTTCCCATCCCTCATCTATCTTGTCTGGCACATGCTCTGCATATTCCAAGCACTCAATAAATGCTCATTTGCTAACATATGCTGTTTCTTCCACAACTTCAAAATGGTCATTATTGTCCAACGCACCAGAAGACAGATTGAGCTCCCTACCATTTCTGCCTTCAGCCTTCAACTTCTCCCAAGGAATCCAGAGGTCCCTATACCAGGGGGAAGAGTGGATGGGGCTCTTCCTGGAAGATTCTAATCCTCCTGCCTCAAATGGGGAGACCCATATCCTATCCCAGATAGGTCCCGGGAAAGCATTCCTCTGGAGCTGCCAGGGCAGGCTCTGAGGGCTCAAGGCAAAGACACTTCCCAGACACAATAGCTCCAGTAAGTTCTTGTGACAGCCTGAGGACAGAGTAACACTAAGGGTTAGAGAAATGAAAGGGACTCAGGTACAAGCCTAGGAAACAGAGTTAGCTGCCCCTTATGAGTAACCTTAACAAATAGTCTCCTTCTTTGGCCTTACCAAGCCTATACCTAGTGACCAATCTGTGTGGCAACCCATGGTTCCCATCTTGGGCAAGTAATCTCTTAGTCTGAGTTTCCTCATAGGTAGGTTCAGATCAGTTATCTATGAAATGGCCAGAATGAGTTCTTGTCCTTCACAGTCTGAGGTTAGCTGCAAAACACTAAGCTCAAATCCTCAGGTAGAAACTTCCCTTGGTTGCCCAGGCCCCTGTGAGTACTTCTGAATCCTTCCCCTCTAAGACATTGGACTTTGAGACCTGTGGGTTCATGAAGACAGTGCCTGGGGAGAGAGGACGAGAAAGAAGGTTGAACAGTACAGAGTGGAGACAAGTAAAGGAGCCTGACCCCAACGGTCTCTGGGGTCATCAGGGATATTGTCCAGTCGGAGCCCCAGGCACAGAAGAAAACCCTATAGATGCTGGCATGCTACCCTAGGGGCAAAGCCTTGGGACCCACGGAAGAAAGGACAGTCATGCCTTAAGAGGAGAGTCCTGGGGGAGGAGTTAATACAGCAGGAAATATCAGAGCAGAGTCAGAACAATAGCAGGGTTTCTTTGGCCCCTGTTTTCTTTGGCCTCTTAGCTGCCAAGGAGCCCAGAGTCCACTGCTCCAGGTCCTTGGCTTTCCTGCAGGCGCCTCCCCTCAGCCCCTGCCTGACAGGCTGACAGCAGGAGGCACCTGTTCTTTCCACCTGCCAAGCCCTTGGGCTGGGCTCCTTCCCTTCAGCTTATCTCCACACTATACCCTTAGGGGGCTTTTAAAATTAATAGTCACAACATAAGGAGACTTTGCTGAGATTTAAACTGTGCTAGGCACTGTGCTATGTGCTTCTCAGGGGCACCCACAGGGTACAGGCCTCTAGTGCAGCTCCCCTCCCTGGATCCTGTGGGTGGGTTCCTGACCTTCCTCCAAGCTCTGGAGAACCCTCCAGCTCATTCCCCACCTGCTGAACCTAGGTATGGGAAGAGGGAGGGGTGCAGAGGCTACAGGTCGAGAGGGGCTGCAAGCTCAGAGGGAAGGGGCAAAGAGGAGGTGAGAGGGTGGGGATGGAAGAAAGTTTGGACCAAGCCAGGAATAGAGGACTTGACTTTGGGGGGAGTGAAAAAACCACATGTAAGAGAGGCAGACCTGGGAAATGAAGGAGAGACAGACAGAAAACAGAACAGCACAGCAAGTAAAAGAGGCAGAGGAAAGGTGAATGTAGAGACTGAAATGAGAAAGAGACTGAAAAAGAGACAGACTGAGAAAGAGGCAGAGAGAGGAAGAAACTGACAAAGGGAGAGGTACAAGAGACTGGAGAGAGAGAGAGAAAGAGATGTCTCCGGGTTTGGAGAAAGCCTGGCAGAGAAAAGGAGAGAAATTGCCAGAGAAGAGAAACCAAGACCGAATAAGGGTTCAAAGGAAGAGACTAGGGGTGCTAAGGAGACTGAGAGGAGGAGAAAGAAAAGAAGGAAATTCGGAGATGCAGAGTGAGGGGCTTCTGGCAGTGAGACAAGAGAGGCCTGGCACGGAGACGAGTGGTGCACCCTCCTCTCCCTAGTCGGACTTCCAGAGTCTCAGGGCCTCTGGTCATACCCCCTCCGGTCCCATCGACAAAGGGAACTCCCAGCTTCACCTTCTCCGGGGATCCCCAAGAGGGCTATGCCCAAGGGGCCGGGACTACTCCCCTGAGAGGGCACTTCTGGGGGTCTGCAGCTTAGTGCAGGTATTGCCCGGGGATGAAGTGTTGAGGAAGACTGGCACTTCTCCCCACACGCCCCCGCTCTAAGCACAGAAGGCTGCGGGGCCCGCCCGGCCCGGGAGCGGCCAGCGGCCGCCCCCGCACCAGCAAAGAGGGAGCTGAGCGGCGCTGTCCTCGGGTAATAACATCACTCGGGCCCGGCCGGGGGTGAGGTCGGGTCAGGATGCTCCAGTCGCAGGAGGAAAAGGAGGAGCTGGACCAAGGGCCTGAAGAGAAGAAAAGGCGAAGACCAGGGACCGAGGAAAAGGTCGGGCGAGGTAAACACTCGGCTGTCTGTCGCACCGGGGTGCCGGGCCCGAGCCCAGTCTCGCGGGGAGCCGGGGCGCACAGCACTGAGGAGAGCGCAGCGGCTGCCTGAAGCGCACCATGCGCCGATCCGCGGCCGCAGGTCCCGTCTACACCGCCGCCTGGGTTACGTGGCCCGGGCGGGTGGGTCGTTGCCCCGGCAGGGGGGCGGGCGCCGGAGCGGGGGCACGCGGAGCCGCGGGGAGTTGCGAGCCTGTGACCGCCGCTGGCCTTGCTCTCTGCGCGCTGCGCGGGGCCCCGAGCGCGGGAGCCGCCCACTGCCCCCCCGCGGTCGCCCCGCTCCGGGGCGCCCGCCCCCTATATAGCGCGCCCCTGCGGGGCCCGCGCCAGGCCGCCTGCCACGGAGTGGGTGCGGGACAGTGCGCAGCGCCCCGCAGCCAGCCCTCTGCCCCCAACCCCAACGCCGCCGCCGCTGCAGCCTCTGCCCCGACGGGCGCCCCTAGCCGCGGCCGTCGCCCCCGGGTCCAGGTGGCCACCATGAAGAAGGAGGTGTGCTCTGTGGCTTTCCTCAAGGCTGTGTTCGCTGAGTTCTTAGCCACTCTCATCTTCGTCTTCTTTGGCCTCGGCTCAGCCCTCAAGTGGCCTTCGGCGCTGCCCTCCATTCTGCAGATCTCACTGGCCTTTGGCCTGGCCATAGCCACCCTTGCCCAGTCCCTGGGGCCTGTGAGCGGTGGCCACATCAACCCAGCCATCACCCTGGCCCTCTTGCTGGGCAATCAGATCTCCCTGTTCCGGGCTGTCTTCTACGTGGTGGCCCAGCTGGTGGGTGCCATTGCCGGGGCAGGCATCCTCTACTGGCTGGCACCACTCAATGCCCGGGGCAATCTGGCCGTCAATGCGGTGAGTGGCCCACCGACCTGGGTGTGGGGAAAGGGACCCTGGGGTGGGCCCAGGACCAGGCCTCCATGCTCCATCTCAAAAATGGGTGCAACAGAGTGCACCAGCCCATGCCCTTGCCAGGAAGGTGAGCGCCTCCTAAGGCCAAGAAGATGAATCTCCAGGCCTATGTGTGGCTCCCCTGCCATGCTTTTATCTACCTCCTCTGTCCCTTCCTCTTGCTGGCCCATCCTGGCCTCTCTCCAGGGACATGCTAACCCTCCTTTCTTGCCCCAACTTCTGCCTTTGCTCCTGTCTCACCTTTGAGCTCTCCTTTCCTCTTGGGTCCCTTGTGTCCCCGGTCTGCTGCTCCCCAGAGGAGTGGCTTCATGGCCCCTTGGAGAGAGTGGGTTGTCATCCTGGCATCGGTGATCCTAGCTCTCTGTGTTTCATTTCTCTTAGCCATTATATAGATAGATGGTCATACCTACCACAACAGGTGTCAAGGGGGTTACATTTAGAAACCATGGATATGAACCCCTTAATGTGCCAATGCATAGTGAGCTCTGTTGAATATTGGTTCCTCCTCTCCCTACCCCCTGCTCCTGCCTGCTGCCACCTCCCCCCTCCTGCAGCCCCAGATTCAGTCCCCCCCCCACCCCCCCGCAAACTGGGTTCATTAATCAAACACAGAGGAGGATTTTCTCGGCCATTGTCAAGCCATGAGTCAGCCACACTGGAGAGACGGGTTTGAGGTTGGCACCAGCATCAGGTCAGGCATGGCTGGAGGCCGGGTTGGGGGTGCAGTAGGCAAACTGGGCAACTGCCCACAGAAGGGTAAATGCCAGCTTGTGGGAGGTGGGGGCTGGGCAGAACCGTTGATGGGCCTGTGTCTAGGATACTCTGCCCTTGACCACAGGTCAGAGCTTCAAGCTTCCACAAACGGCTTCTCTGAGGTAACATGCACAGGGCTTGGCTCCCAGGTGCCAAGGTGCTCTAGATGTCCTGGAAAACCAAAAGCCCCTCTTCCCAGGCCTGAGGTTATAAAGCCAGAAAGCTCAGAGCTCCTAACCCACCCTCCCCTTGCAGCTCAACAACAACACGACCCAGGGCCAGGCCATGGTGGTAGAGCTGATTCTGACCTTCCAGCTGGCACTCTGCATCTTCTCCTCCACCGACTCTCGCCGCACCAGCCCTGTGGGCTCTCCAGCCTTGTCCATCGGACTGTCTGTCACATTGGGCCACCTTGTTGGAGTGAGCAGTGCTGATACTCAGCTGGGGCTGGGGTGGGGGCAGACATGCAGGCAAATAATAGAGTCATAGAGTGGTGCCCCACTGGACCAGTGAGTCCAATGAAGTTTAAGGGCTAGATTTAGGGCTGCTGCACTCTGGCACTATTGGGTCCCAGACTTGACCCTCCAAAACCTCTGGGTTGATGAAAGGTAAGAGTAAATAAGATGTGGAGTGACTCAGGGATTCAAGCCCAAGCTCAGGATAGAGAAAAGAGTAGGGCATGGGTAGGGTCTGTGATTAACTGGATAGCTGGGATCCTGGAAGGGGAAGTCACCAGCCTAGAAATTGGGAGATTTGAGTTTGAGACTGAGCCTATGGAGAGTCCAGCTTCTATAGGAGTAGACAGGAACATTGTCCTTCTCACCACTGCCCTCCCTTTCCAGATCTACTTCACCGGCTGCTCCATGAACCCAGCCCGCTCTTTTGGCCCTGCAGTAGTCATGAATCGGTTTAGCCCCTCGCACTGGGTGAGTCTAGGCCTTCTCTTGGCTCCCTGGCCACGAGGGCCTGGAGACCTAGCAGTAACAATTGAGAGCTAAAGGAACTTTCTGGATACCGTGGGCCCAGAACTTGGGAGTGGAACAGAGAGCCATGGCTGGACAGAAAAGGGGGCTTGGGATTTGGCCAGAAGGGCAGGAGTGAGTTTATATAGTCTGAGCCCCTGGGGACAGGGGAAATGAGTGTCTGTCTCCCCAGGGAAGGGAATCTGTGCCTTCATGGAGGTACAGAGGGAAACTGTGCTGATCTGCTCTGAGGATCTTGTGTCTGTCCTTCTGGGTGTCTGTCTAGCCTCTCTGATGTTTTATTGATCTGTCCCTATTGAAAGGGTTGGTGGAATCTTCCTGTGTGTCTGTTCTTCTGGACAATCTTTCTGTCACTTCCTTTGAGAGCTCATGGTCACTTTCTTCAGGATCTGTGATTCTATCTCTATGGTGAAGCAGGAGCAGTCCTGTTAATCTGTCTCTCTGAGCATTCATATGTCCCCTTCAAAGATTCATTTGGTTCTCCTTAGGGTGTGGTTGGAGGGAGCCTGGCCCTCGGGAGATCTGCGTGCCTCCTTTGAGAGTTTGTGTACTATGTCTCTGTCACTGTGGAGTGGGGCAACAGTGTATACGTGCCCTAGGTGGGAGGTCTGGAAGTCTGTATGCCCGTCTCCTCTCAGGGTCAAAGGGACTGTCCTCTGGGGTTCAGCCCCCTGATCACTGGCCCTGTCTCCACCAGGTCTTCTGGGTGGGGCCCATCGTGGGGGCTGGCCTGGCTGCCATCCTCTACTTCTACTTGCTCTTCCCCAATTCTCTGAGCCTGAGTGAGCGTGTTGCCATCATCAAGGGCACATATGAGCCTGAAGAGGACTGGGAGGAGCACCGGGAAGAGCGGAAGAAGACCATGGAACTGACTGCCCGCTGACCAGTGTCAGGCAGGGGCCAGCCCCTCATCCCCCGGACCACAGGGGGGAAAAAGAAAAAAAAAAAAAGAATAACAGCAAAGCTTCCTTCCCCGAGGTCGGTCCTATTGGCTGAGGAGGAGGCGCTGGCTCCCCAGGCTGCACAGCTAGAGATGGGAGCAGGAACCCATAATGGGATTATCGGATTGGGGGCCCGGGGCTGGGGTCTGGTGGGGAGGAGTCTCTCTGGAACAGGGCAGACTGCAGTGCTTTGAGGTCAGACCTCAAAGATTGTGAAAGCAGGCTCACAGGCTGCCCCAGGCCCGGGCCAGAAAGGGCTGGCCTGCAGTCTGCCTCCCTCACCCTCCCCAGCCCCTCCTCAAGAGCCATAGGGACCCCAGCCCCTAGGTGGGCAGAGGCAGACCCGCCCTCAGAGCTCCTTAGGAGGAAGACAGACTGGCTCATTGAGTGCCACCTTATTTATTTCCAGTAGAGGATGGATGGAGTGGGGCTGCTGGTGTTTGGAGTGGGGGCTTTCCAATAAACTGCTGATACTCATGTTCCACCTCTGTCTCTCTCCTTGGGACACTCTAGCTCATCACCCCTCCCCGTGTTTTCCCACATCTTCCATAGTGTACTATGGTGCTCTTTGCAGGGTACAAGGGGACCCAGGACAAGTCTGCTATGGAAAGAAAGGGCAGCTGGGACCAGGGGAGGCCTAGAGAATCAGAGCTGGGTGCCGGGCAGAGAACAAGAAGAACAGATACAGAAATAAATAGAGCTGGAGGCCTAAGCTATGTCAAGTCCCTGCCACTTGAGGAGGCCTAGCTGGCACTTGAAGAGGGCAGTACCAGGGTGTCCTAGGTAGGGTGGAGGAGGAGGGAACCAACCACAGCCCCTTGACATGCCAAGGGGTGACCAGTCAGGTTCTGTTACAAAGAGGCGGCACAGCCCTTGCTCCTTTCTCCACACCTTGATTTTTCAAAAAGGTGCCATGCTGAGAGCCTGTGCTCAGCGGGAGCAGCCCACCCTCTGTCCCCTTACAGAAGCCGAATGCGGCCCAAACCTTTTCCTGGTCTCCTCTCCTCCCTTTGCCCGTCAGTGTCCCTACTGTCCTCTCTGGAGCTCTGCCTTTGCTGTCACTAACACTCCTTAGGAGACCCCCTTAAACTGCCTGGGCCTCCGTCTCTGAATCTGTAAAACGAGGATAAAAACTGCTTTCCTCCCAGTTAGTAGGGACTGTAGTAGGGACTGGATGAGGGGAGAGGCCTGGGTCTGGTGGGCTTTCTGGGAAGGTGGTGGGAGTCATGCCCAGCCTGGGCAACTCTTGGTCAAATCTTGCTGCGCTACTTTGAGCAACATAAGCTCTCTGAGCTTTAATTACTTCATCTAAAATAGAGATGCTTTCACCTACCTCACGGGTGGCTGTGCGGAGAGAATGAGAACAATGGGCAGAAATAAGCTGCCGGTGCACTCAGTAAAGGGGTGCGAAAAGAAACCACCGCACACGCGCGCCTCCTTGGGTCCTCAGCCACCAGCCTCTGCCTGCCTGAATGACTGTACCGAGAGCCGGCTGCTCTGGCTTCGGAACCTCTCTGCCTGTGGTCTTCGGTTTTGCCTCTAAAGAGGAAGAGGGCACAGGCCAGGAGATAGCTTGAGAAGGGACAGAAGAAGCTGTACACGCTGGCTGGTGAGGGTCAGTGCCAGGGGCTGCAGTGAACACCACGTGGCAGAGCGTGTGTGTGAACCTGGGCCCTAGCGGAGGAGCAGACTTCACCGTCGGTGCCACGTGCACCTTCCCACCTCCCCCGGCCCGCCCGGGCCGGAGCCGCCGGGTGCATGCGCCAGCTCTGGCCAGCAGGGGGAGACCTGGTCCACCGAATCCACAGCCGCTCGGCCTCCTCGTCCGTCAGCCCCAGGTCTGGGCTCTAGCCAGAGCGGGGGTGGTGATGGAGGACACCAGGAGTGTCTCAGGCTTGGGTCCCCTGCGGCCACCAGGAAGCAGCCTACCCCAAGCCCACCTCCACCGCACTATCTGGGCGGGGGTGTAGAAGAGAGAGGCGACCTACCCGGCTTGGTTTCTAGAAGTCTCAGGTTCAAGCACAGCCACGACTGGGAGGCTGGCCTCTCCCTCCAGCCCAACAACGGGAAGCGTGCTAGGGTGAACGGCGGACCCTTGGGAGACAGGCCCTTGGGGTGGGGGGCACCCAGTCAGAGGGGATAACGGGCCTTGAGCTTCCCCCAGGGAACATCCAAGCAGCTCCAGGGCTTCAGGCTGAAGAGTCGCAGAGATCGGTCCCGTCTGCCCAGCAGGGGACGCTGCACTCCTTGCATGAGATCTTCCAGGAGCCGCCGGTCTGCGGGCTCACAAAGCCTGGTCCCCCACGAGCACGCATACACGAGCCCCACATTTCTCGGGCTCCGAGCCACACAGACCCTCAGGTATACCCAAGGGCTGTGTCTGCTGGGTGTGTGGAGCCCCATCAACCCTCCCCCACCGTTCATTCCCACCGGGTGCGAGGCTGGACCTGGAGCCTGACCCCACGTGCTCGCAGAGGGGCACACGTGTGCGCGCATATCCAAGCACACACGTGCCCAATCACCTCTCCGGCCCTCTGCCCCACCTGAAGACTGACCCAGTAAGAGGCGTGGTTCTCCCGTAGGAGGCTTCTCTTCCCTTCACCTCCCCAGGGGCTTCACAGTTTTCAGGTAGACAGTGAAGGTGGGGCTGTGTTGGCGAGATGGAGGAGGACTGGGGGCAGAGGTGGAGAATGCGCAGAGGACTGTCTAGATGGGTGGACAGGAGGCGGGATTGCTGGAGATAGCGGATCTCTGAGCTCCTCTCAGCCTCAGCTTTCTCCACTGCTGTCACCAACAAATGAGGCTCTCGGATCTCCAGAAGTTTCCATGTTTTGTGGTGACTGATGAGATGAGGCTCCAGAAGCCACTTTGAATCCCTTCCTTTTGTCAAGTTTTCATTCTTCCTTCTCTTCTTTCCCAGTACCTCCCTCCTTCCCCTCCTCCATCTCCCCTGAGCCCTGAGAGGACCTCAGTCAGACCTCACACTGGCAGGCAGTCTACACAGCCAGGTGTGGGGCTTGGCAAAAGGTCTCTGAGCATGAGTGAGCTCAAAACTTGGCATTAGAGCCCTGGACTGCCTGGAGCCAGGAAGGTGCTGGCTGGGGCAGGCCCTGCATAGTGCCTGCCTCACCTCAGGGGGTGAAGGACCTTGTCCCAGGCCAGGCAGGGCTCAAGGAGGTTCTGCTGTAAGCCAGCTGGAGATAAAGGCTGCCACTGCACTTAATGCTCTCAGGTTCCTGGACTCAGAGCAGGGCTGCCACACCAGCCCAGTCCTCACAGTTGTCTCACTGGAGAGGGAAGGGAGTTGCAATCCTAATAACCAACATTTCCTGACGCAGAGGCACTCTGCTTGGTGTCAGCACATTTACTCCTGACAAAACAGAGTGGGGTGGGGATTATCACCCTCATTTTATAAATGCGGATACTGAGGTCACAGAAGTTAAGCAGCTGGTTAGGGGTGCAGTGTACATAGAAATGTTCAAAATGTTCTGTTTCTTGTGAAAAGCTCTCAAAAGATAAATATTGCTGCCATTTGGTGCCAGTTTTACAAGTAGAGAAACTGGGATGAGGTCAGATGCAGGTGCTGGTAAGTGTCTGTCCATTAAACCCTCTACTGTCCCTATCTGAAGAAGGGGGGAAGGAGAGTGGTGCCCTTGAGGTACTGAGAAGCCCCCAGGCAGGGAGCCCACCGTGCTAGGGAGGAATGGCACCCACACTCCATCCTCCCTTGAGCATTTATTGAATGACTCCCTATGTAAGGCAGGGAGGGAAGTCTGCTCTGGAGCAGTGGAGGCAGTGAGGAGGGAGAAGCCACAACCAGCCCTGGCCTCACTCAAGCCCTACTTCTCTGCTGGTTGGGGCAGGCTTCCTAGAGAAACTGTACTCGTGCAAAGTCTTGAGAGAGGGACAAGGAGGAAAGGCATTCCAAAATCAGCACACAGAGGGCTCAGAAGCTCATTTGGGGAAGTATAAAATGTTTGACCTGGCTAGGGTGGAGGGTGCAGGGTAAGCGGTGGGAGGCAGCCTGAATATCCATGTCTATGTAGATCCTGAGGCAATGGGGAGCCATTGAAGGTTTCTGAGCAAAGGGATAATGTAATCAGCTTTGTATTTTTTTTTTTTGAAGGAATGGTAGTGAAGAGATTGGTGAGGAAGGGTACAGATGTAGTGAAGTTGGAGAGTCCATTAAGGTTAATGGAATAATCCAAGGAGAGACAATAAGAGCTGAACTGGGCCTGTGGCAAATGAGAATGAGAAGAGGTGCCAGAGGTGAGAAAGAACTACCAGGAACCTGGTCCTCTCTTTAGTGTGGGCTGAGGGAAGGGAAGGTATCTGGATGATTCTGGGGCTCTGACCTGGAGCCACTCAATGGGAGAGGAGCAAGGAGGCACAGGCTAGAGGGTTCAGTGGGGAGGTCATGAGGTCTGGAGTTCAAGAGAGAAGTCTGGGCTGGAGGCAGTGTTGTGAGTCAACAGTTTGTGGAGGGGATGCAGGGATGCAAGCCACAGATGTCAATAGGGCTGCCTAGGCAGTGTCACCAGGAAATGAGAAGAGCAGGGGCCAGGAACAGACAAGGCCTGGGTTTAAAGGTCAGCAAAGTAGCCATTGATAGAGGCTAAAAAGACACCCTCAGAGAGGTGGGAGGAGAGCCAGGAGATGGCCATTTCCACATAGGCATGGAGAGAAAGAGGCTTCAGGAAGGAAATGGCTGGCAGGGCAGGTGCTTCAGCAGGCCAAGGGAGAGGAAGCTAGAATGGAGGGCATGGTGGCCTTTTCTAAAGCAGTTTCAGTTCGGTGGCTGGGGACTCTAGTGCAATGAGTGGATGACTGGAAGCTTTCCACTGCTCTGAGATTACTCAGGCACCTTGGAAGGGAAGAAGCCAGGACAAAGGGAGATGAGAAAGCCACAGCTGAGACTGGGATTGTCAAGAGAGGGCCCCTGCTGCTCAGAGGGAGCCAAGAGTACAAGGGGGATCTCCTGTTCCCCAACTTGCACACTTGTTCAAGGCCATAGGGCACTGGTGGGGGTATGTGACAGCTGCTGGGGAGGCCATGGATGGCAAGGAAGGGTGGGACAAAGTCTTGCCTGGTAGCTTGGCTTTGTAAGTAGGATGGGAGGTCTGGGGCAGTCATCTGCTGAGAGAAAGTCAGAGTGAATAGGATACTTGAAGAGTGGGGAAGATTTAAAAGAATGGGGGACAGACATGGAAGGATTGCTGAGCAGAGCTGCCAGCCCTGCTGAGGCCAGACCGTGGACTTGTCAGGGCAGCAGTCTGCATGGCTGGGCAAGTTTCTCCAGCAGTGCTCAGCAGCCCAGATGGGGAGCAGAGAGGCATGGAAGAGAATGAGGGGAAGTGGGAGAAGGGTGGGAGTGGGGTGGGAGGGGTGTAGAGAGGCATGGGAGATGGGGTGGAAAGGGCTCAGTCCCAAGTGGGAACAGATATAAGGCTGAAATGAAGCCAACAGAGGCCATCTGCCCCAGGGGGTCAAGAAGTTTTTATTCATTCACTCATTCTACAAATATTTATTGTGAACTTACTATGGCAACCTTTATGCAAGACACTGTATGTAGGGATGAATAAAATTTGGTTCCTGCCCCCCAGGGGCTCACCACATTGCTTCATTAGACAACCTGTGGTGCCTATATGAAAATGCCTAGATGTGGTAGGAGCACAAGAGGCCCAGGAATGGAGCAAGTGACCTCAAAGCTGAGCTTTCGGAAGGAGGTAGGAGTTACCTAAACAAGGGGAGTGGACCAAGAGAGAGCATTCTCCTAAGAAAAGACCAGCAAGGTGTTCATCTGGGGGGGGCAGAGGGTAAAGGATGAGGCAGGCAGTGGGGAGAAGGGAGGAAGGAGGAATAGAGTCCCTGAAGGCAGGCACAGAGCTTCCAGAGGAATGGGAGGCTTTGAAGGGATTTTAGCAGGGGAGCAGCATGATCAGATTTGCATTTTAGCACTGGGGCTGCAGTGTGGAGAATTGATTGGAGCAGAGCAAGGGAACAGACAGCGAGACTGGTTAAAGGCTGCAGGGCAGCAGGGGTGGCAAAAGAGGACATAGTCAGAAGATACTTACGATTCAAAATCAGCAGGACTTGATGCTTTTATTGTATAGGGGAAGGAGGGAGAGAGGGTCAAGGATGCTTCCCAGGCACCACCAACTGAGTTGGAAGAAACAAGATTGGGGGTAGAGAAAGGGACCTCATTTTGAGATAGATTGCATTAGAGGATCCTGAGAACAAACAGGGGGCATCTGTGGGCAAGTAGATTGGCCAGGGGTGAGAACAGGGCACCCCGATGTGGTTAAGAAGAGATTATATTTCAACAGCTTAGCAGATTCTTGTTAAGGAAGGAACACTTTTGTTTCAGAAAATACCTTGATATTTTGCTGCTGGGGGCAAAAGGGGAAAGCTTAGGGCACAGGTGATTTTAGGGCCAGCATAGACACAAAAATGGTTAAGCTGCCCTTGCATGAGAAAGGAGAGGAATCTTTTTGGCCCCCCAGAGGGAGGAACTGAGAAGGGAGGGGCAGGGGAGGGGAGGCAGAGAGGTGGAGAGGGCCAGTGGAAATATCTGCTGGTGGACAGCAGGTCCACAGCAGAGGTGCCCCTGCCATGTGTGTGACCTGATACTGTTTGATTATCTGTGGAATAAACCCCTTCTCCTTCTGGCCCTCCCACCCCACAGGCCCAAGTCCTTAGCAAAGCCAACTCTGTTCACATATGCGTTCCCTAAGAGGGGTTTTGGTGGGAATAGAGGAGAGCACTTAATATCTCGTATAGGTTTAAGGGGCACAGCACAGTTCCCATCTGGAGGCAGAGCCCAGAGACAAAGGGGGCCAGGAGAACAGTACCCCTTGATCTTGAAGCAGGCCTTGGACTTGGGGATCTGAGTGATCTTGCTCCATCAGAGCAGACATTAGGACATGAATACTCAGAAATCCCATGCTGCCCTTCATCTGTGACCCTCAGGCTAGATCTTTGCCTGGAGCAGAGTTAGATCTGTCTAGCCGTGGAAAATCTCCTGGAAGGTTCCAGCTCAGCACCCAGGTACAGCCCTCCCCACTGCCTCCTCCACTCCCTCCTTGCCCCCAATCAGGTGAGCTCAGGCTGGAGCAAGCATGTAAGCAACCCCTCACACCACACCCACAGCTCCCACCCTTCTAGACACATAACCCACTGGTCCGCTCCCTGCCAGTCTGACCAGCACACTCCTTGGGGCAGCAGAGTGGTGGAGGCACTGCTGGTGGAGGCTTGAGAAACCTCCACAGAGGGTAAAAGCCAGAGTCAGCCAGAAACAAGAGACAAGAACACAGAGGAGAGGCCCTTGGAGCAAAGGAGGTGACAGCCAAGACAGGATATGGAAGCCGTACAGCCAGAGAGGCATGCCTGGGCTAGGATGTTGTCATGCAGGCTTTGGCCAGCTGTCGTCAGGGCACTGTTTGCCGAGTTCCTGGCCACCGGGTTGTATGTGTTCTTTGGTGTGGGCTCAGCGCTGCACTGGCCCTCAGCACTTCCCTCTGTGCTACAGATTGCCATCACCTTCAACCTGGCCACAGCCATGGCTGTGCAGGTCACCTGGAAGGCCAGTGGGGCCCACGCCAACCCTGCTGTGACACTGGCTTTCCTCGTGAGCTCCCACATCTCTCTGCCCCGTGCTATGGCCTATGTGGTTGCCCAGCTGGCCGGGGCCACCGTAGGGGCCGCTCTGCTTTATGGTGTCACACCAGGAGACATCCGAGAAACCATTGGGATTAATGTGGTAGGTGCAAGGAGAGGTACGTGGCAGGGCCAGGAGGTGGGAGTCCACACAAGTGGTGAGGGTGGAGGGCCAGACCTGAGGAAGAAATAACAGCCTCACATTCCACACCTGCTCTGGCTGGACACTGGGTCCCAAAGGAATCACACTATGGCCTTAATCTAGGAAGAATAGAATGGAATTGTGGTGTGAAGAACAGATGAAGAAAGAAGCCACCACAAAGGGTAAGGAGTCAGAGAAGGACCAGGCATTTAAAGGGTAGATGTGGCCAAGGGAGGGCTGGGGCTGTGAGTAGAGGCAGGGGGCCCTGCAAGTGCTTCATTTTCTTCTGCGAGCTCTACCCCAAGTCCTCTGCCCCTCTGTTTTCCCCAAATTCCTCCTTCCCTAGCATTCTGAGGCCTGCCTCAATCCTCCACTCCAGACCCCTAGCCATCTATGTTCCACCTACTCCCCCAAACTCCTCCACTCTTACTCTAGCCTCCTCTCAAACAAGCATCCCCAGCTTCTCAGGCCTTCCCTTTCCCACCAGTCCTGAGCTCCTGCCTCCCTCTCCTAAACCACTAGCTCCAACCAACCAGTTGGTGGGTGGGAGGAGTACCAATCTCTCCTGCAGGGAGCAAGTGTCCAGGGCTGATGTGAGCTGCAAGGATCTCAAGTCCTGGAGCTGAGCAGCGGTGAGGTGTTACCCATCCTTACAGCTGAGGAGACCAAGCCCAGGGGGTTTCACCATCCTATGGGCAGAACATGCATCTATTCCAGTGTAACCCCCTTTGCCCAGGTCCGGAACAGCGTCTCAATTGGCCAGGCAGTGGCAGTGGAGCTGGTTCTGACCCTGCAGCTCGTGCTATGTGTCTTTGCTTCCACCGACAGCCGTCAGACATCAGGTTCCCCAGCTACCATGATTGGGATCTCTGTGGCATTAGGCCACCTCATTGGGGTAAGGGGCAAAGGGGACACCACGCACATGCATATACTGGGTCCCTTCCTGGGAAAGCTGCAGGTCCCTGAAGGCCAGGAAGTGTCCCTCCCTGAGCCCCTCATGCTTTGGGGCTGAGGTGGCGTCTCTGCACTCTGGGCCCAGGATACGATGCTGCAGAGGCCACTGGGGCCAGGGCTTTAGGCTGGGGCAAAGGGGCCTCACTCCTCCTAGGCCTACCATAGGCCTCTTCACACTGTGCCCCTGCACCTGCTGCCTTTGCACACCCTGACCCTGCACTTGCTCTCCAGATCTACTTCACTGGCTGCTCAATGAACCCAGCCCGCTCCTTCGGTCCTGCCGTCATCATCGGGAAGTTCACAGTGCACTGGGTGAGACCCTCTGCTAGTGGCCATGGGGAAGGGAAGGGGCTTCAGTAGGGACAGTAAACATTAGGTTTTATCAATAGTGAGTCCACAAAGACTTGGGGAGACAACCCACATCACCACCACCATTTTCACCCTAGTATGGAGGTTTCCCTAAGCTCAGAATACCAGCTTCTGAGTGTCCCAGCTTGTACTTCCTTTCTTTCCAGCTTCAATATCCCAGGTGTCCAATGGACTGGCAAAGAATCGGCCAGGTCAGGAGCTGAAGCTTTGGCCCAAACTTTAAGACCTGGATGTTTTCTTATTCACTTCCTCCAGCTGAATCAATTTTTAAACTTGGATAAAGAAAAAGATAAACAGAGAAAGACACACCAGCAGAGATATAAACAGCAATAGCCAGGACTCATGGCTAAAATGGAGGAGGTGGAGCAAAGAGGCATGGGACGGGGAGGGAAGACTGGCCTCCTGGCCCCAACTATTGCTACACAGCCTGGGCCCAGACCCATGGAAGGCAAGGTCCCCTCACCACGAGAGCTAAGGAGGCAGGACTCGTGGTTCTCACGTTTACTACCTTGTAAACAGTTGAAGACTTGGGAGACCGAGTCAGCCCTAGGGAAGCAGGCAGGTGCCCCAAAGCTACCCTATGGTGCTGACAGCTCATGGGTAGGGTATCTACTTCCTTCTCCTCAGGTCTTCTGGGTGGGACCCCTGACAGGAGCTGTCCTGGCTTCACTGATCTACAACTTTATCCTGTTCCCTGATACCAAGACCCTGGCCCAGCGACTGGCCATCCTCACAGGCACTGCAGAGGTGGAGAGAGTGGTAGGGGTGGAGCCCCAGAAGAAAGAATCCCAATCCAGTTCAGAGGACACGGAAATGGAGAATGTGTGAGGTGGCAAGAGATTTTTTCACACTCTTGTTTTGAGAGGAGCCCTGTAGGTGGGCAATGTGCCTTTTCATGACCTAATGTGAAGTTTTCCTGGGAGGGGGTGGTGGGAAGGCTTGATACCTTATCCTAACAGGGTAAGGCAGGGGGTGCCAACCCTCTCCCTGGCATTACATTTCTAGATGGAAAGAATCCGGGAGCATTTCTAGTATACTCCCTCTAGGCCTTCTCTCTTTCTCTCTCTTTTTTTTTTTCTTTTGAGACAGAGTCTCACTCTGTTACCCAGGCTAGAGCACCATGGCATCAGCCTAGCTCACAGCAACCTCAAACTTATGAGGTTCAAGCAATCCTCCTGCCTCAGCCTTCCAAGTAGCTGGAACTACAGGCACCCATCACAATGCCTAACCAATTTTTCTATTTTTAGTAGAGACAGGGTCTTGCTCTCACTCAGGCTTGTGAAATGACTGAACTCAAGAGATCCTCCCCCCTCCACCTCCCAGAGTGCTAGGATTACTTGCAGGTGTGAGTGCAGTGCCCAGCTCCTCTTCCCCATCTCTTAATAAGACAGAGAGCAGAGAGAGGCAGGGGACTTGATAATCTCTCTTCACTTCCCTCACCCAGCTGGACCCCAGTAGGAGTCCTGAGCTTTCAGAGCCCTATTTCTTGGGGAAAAAGGAAATTAGAGTCCAGTTACTCTGCTTAGGCACTGAGGACCCCACAGAGCTTAGGAAACCATGAAGGAGGAGCTTCCTGGTATAATCAGGCCCTGAAACAGCCTCTGAGCTTTTGAGAGGGATTTTTCCACCCTTGTTTATAGTTTGGGAGCCATGATTCCCCTCTCCAACTAGGGGCTTCCTGAAGACAGAGACTGACCTCCTAAAAGATCTTTATTCCTCACTTCTCCAAATACTCAGGAGAGAACCCCAACTTAGGGGAGAACTGACACAGAGAACCTTTTCTCAGGCTGGCAGAGGGTCAGGGTACAGGGAGACAGTCTGAGCCAGACAGACCTTTCCCAGGATAAGCTCTCCCCAGTTGTTTGCCTTGACTTCCACCCCACAGCCACATTCACAGGGACAATCCCAAGAGGGGAAGACCCTAACCATGCCCTCTGTTCATAACCTGGGTCAAAGAAAGCCATCTCCTGCTTCTTTTTTATCATTACCAGGATTCCCTCAAAAGCTATCAAGTCCTAAGGATGGTGGGAACCCCGGATGTCAGGGAACCCTGAGAATGACCCAGGAAACTGAGATTTGAGGTTTAGTTCCTTCAAAGGCCTACTGAACTCCAAATTGGTTGGTTAAGATTTAAAGGCTACTATATATCTACTCTGCCCATGACTTGGGGTCCTGTCTGGATCTTGGCTTCCCTAGCTATTAAATGGACACAATCCTCCCCCCAAGGATTGCTGTGAAAATAAGAAATTGGAAAATGCTTTTGGAAGTGAAAATGCTAAAAAAAAAAAAAAAAAAAACCAATAAAAGATGATTATTGTTGCTGTTACTGTAATTATTAGGTTTGAATACAATTGCTATTGGTAATGGGAAGGAAGAGAGAACAGAGAGAAAGATGATTGAGAGGGAGGAAGGAGAGAGTCGCCTGTTCTCTCATTTCACTGGATACACTTAGCAGGGACCCTCCCTCCTTTTCTCTTGGGTCTGCTGACCTGGGAGCTCTGTGGGTGTGGGGGTCTTGGGGAGGGACCCTGGAATGAAGAGACAAGCCAATAAAAGTCATTTCTCATTTCTATGGTGCTCATCACCATGGTATCCTGAGATACAGCAACCAAATCCACGTAAAAGATAGGTCCTTTTTCATGTCTCCCAAGGGACTGAGGATGGGGAAAGGCTGCCAAAGTCTTTCAAAGGCAGGGTAATGGGCCTAGCCTGTGACTAGTGCAGTAGCTGAGTCCCTGGTACTTGCAGCCCTAGCAGCTGTTCTGTAATATCATCAGTGGAGATACTACTTACATCTCTCCAAGATGGGTCCCACTCATCCATCTTCACAATCTCTCAGAGCCCAGGGCTGCCTGTGCCCTTTATGAGCAGGGACAGCTGGGCATGTGTGTGTGTGGATGCATGCCTGTGAGTGTGTATGCATACAGACGATATGGCTGACTTGCTAAATGTCACCCAGCTTAGGAGCATGGACCCTTACTGTCTCCTTAGCTGCTGGCTTAGAATTTTCTAAAATAGAACTCCACAGGGGCTTACACAAGCTGCAGCCACAGGAAGGAAGCAGGAACTAGAGGGTGAGAGGGGTGCTGGTGGAACTAATACAGTAAGCTCCTTGACAAATTATTGGTGTCCCCAGAGTCAAGCACACACTGGGTGCTCAATAAAAGTCTGATGAATGAATGACTGAAACTGGGCAGCTGGAGAGGGAGAAGAGGCAGTGATAGATCAAGGAGGAAAATTCAGGAGTTTACAACTCCCCATACGCCAAAATGACAGCAACTAAGAAGCCTATGTTTCTAAGCAGGGGCTGGGAAGAGAGTGCACAGCCAGACATTGGAGTCTCCATTCACTATTCCAGAGCGGGCTCCATAAAATCTTTCCCAGGAACTTACAGGCCAAAAGGGTAAGGGTGGTTGCCTGCATAGAAAGCTGGGGGGCCATTTTCATTAATAATTCTTTAAAGCTGTTCTCTGTCAGAATAGAGCAAGAGGAAATAAGCTTGAGAAATGAGGAATTAGGTTAGAAGCTGAAGAGCATCGAAGGTTAGACATGGAAATAAGCAACCAAAGGGTAGCTTCTCCTGCTCTGGAGCCCTTTAATAGGACAGCAGGCCATCTGTTTGGAGGATGGAAGGGCTGGCCTCTGAGGAGCTGAGTCTCAGTGGTTCCAGCTGGGGGAAGCAGGCTTCATCATCACAGCCCCTGGGTCTGTGTCAGGGCAGGGGGCATGGGAAGGACAGACACCCACCAGGCCAGCTCTTGGTATGTATTCTCTTCCTCCCGGATGTCGGGGGAAGTTTTTAATTAATGGTGTGTAATCTGATCTGACCCTTCTCCCTGCTGAGCACTGCCTTCAATCAGTGGAGCCATCTGCAATTGCAATTCATAATTCTCCTAAAAGGGAGGGAGACTAGGACTGGTGCCTTGGTGATTAATACAATTAGCCTTTTATGCTGATGATTGTCTTAGCAGGAGCAGATGATGCCTCGCTCAGAGCCTAGGCGATCGCTTCCTGATTGGCTGGCAGAAAGCCCCTGCTTCCCACCCCCACTGCTCATCTTTAACCTGCTACTTCCAGGTGTAAAGAGGACAGACCTGATCTGGGACCACACTGTGCAAGGGGGGAAAGCCCAGGAGGGGCCAGGCTGGGAGACACATTTGGCTTCCTAGGACTGCAGGAGGAGGAGGAGTAGCGCAATGACCTGGAAACTTTCATTTTCCAAAGAAAATCCCTTCGCCCCAATGAATTCTGTGGCCTAAAATTTTAAAAAACAAAAAAACTAGCTCAGTGCCTATAGTTCAGTGGCTAGGGCACCAGCCACATATACTGGAACTGGTGAGTTCAAACCCAGACCGGGCCTACCAAACAATGACAACTACAACCAAAAAATAGCAGGGCATTGTGGCAGATTCCTGTAGACCCAGCTACTCAGGAGGCTGAGGCAAGAGAATCACTTAAGCTCATGAGTTTGAGGTTGCTGTGAGCTGTGATGCCAAAGCACTCTACCAAGGGCTACACAGTGAAACTCTACCAAGGGCTACATAGTGAAACTCTACCAAGGGCTACATAGTGAAACTCTGTCTCAAAAAAAAAAAGAGAAAAAACTACATATCTCTATATAGAACAGGGGTTTTAATACAAGTCAGGCAATTACTATCTATGTGAACTTGTGCAAGTTACTCAAGGATCCTGAGCCTCCCTTTCCTCATCTGGAAAATGGAATGGTCAAAAGGGTGCTGGACAAACTACATGAGGTATGTGTCTAGCACCCTGCCTGACATATATATAGTCAGATTTCAATCACTGGTGGCTAATGTACCATCATCATCATCAAGGTAGACTGCATTACATCTATCACGAGCTCAGATGCTTTCCCTGCAGTTTCTGAAGAGGCCTGGACAGTTACTAAACAAGGGACCACTTCCTTCCCATGCCCTAGGCTTAACTTGAGCTAATGGGAGAGTATGTGTGTTTGGGGAAAGGGAAGAATCCTAGAGGAAAGAGGAGTCAAGAATTAAAACACAGGGAACAGAAATAAGGGCCTCCCCAGAACAAAGAAATACAACACTGAAGTAATCACAGCTGGGAGAGTTGGTTGAGGGAGATTCAGGGGATGAGGGTAACAAAGCTGAGTAGGGGGCTAGGCATGGTGGTTCACGCCTATAATCCCAGCATTCTGGGAGGCTGAGGCAGGTGGACTACTTGAGCTCAGGAGTTGGAGAACAGCCTGAGCAAGAGTGAGACCCTGTCTCTAAAAATAGCTGGGCATTGTGGTAGGCGCCTATAGTCCCAGCTACTTGGGAGGCCATGGCAAGAGAAGCACTTGAGCCCAAAAGTTTGAGGTTGCTGTGAGCTATGAAACCAGGCATTCGACGGAGGGCAACAAAGTGAAACTCTGACTTTAAAAAATGAAAGGTAAATAAATAAAAAGGAGCTGACATCAGAGGAGACAGTTAAAGGGGGTAGCATAGACCAAAATTATTGTTATCTGCAACGAGGTCAAGTGATCAGGAATAAGCTGATCTGGGTTTTGGTGGGAGACTCCACTAGGCCAGAGGAGGTGATCGCCTCAGTTCCTCTGGCCTCACAGCACTATCTCCATGACCCGAAGCAGTACCAGGGAGTACAGAAATCAGGCCCAAGGAAAAAGCAGCTTGATGCTTGTTATTAAGAGGGATTTTAACCTACAGCCTAGTGCCAGGCCCTGCAATGTCAAAGAAGACAAGGAGGGAGGGAGGGAAGAAGTTAAGGGCTAATCAAGATGAAGCATCCGGCCAAACTGTAGCCACTGTGGGCATCTGGGCAGGAGGTCAGCACCACCAAGATCT